GAAATAAATGATATACAGACTGGAAAGAAAGAAATATCTTCAAAGTAGTTGCTCAGATTATAAAATGTAGACATAATCATATAGATAAAAAGACTTGATACTATCAAAAAACCAGTTCTTCCCAGCTTTATGCATAGATTCAGTGTAATCCCAATAAAAGTTGTGCAAGTCCATTTGATGATCTTGTTAAACTGACTCTAAAAATTATAGTGAAAAACAAAAGATCTTGTGTAGTCAGTATGATATCAAAGGACAGAATGAAGTTGAAGAGCTGACACAATCTGACTTCGGGACTTACTATAATCTACAGAGATCCAGACAAGGCAGATATTGGTAGAACAGAAATAGATCAATGGAACGAACAGAAATCCAAGAAATTGATGCACATCAATATGGGCCAACTGATCTTTGAGGGGCAAGGGGAGTTCAAAGGAAAAAAAAATGTTCCAGTCAACAATGGTGGCTAGAACAACTGGATATCCACATGCAACACAATAAAGTCAGAGGTGGACTTTCCATTCTTCACAAAAATGAACTCAAAATACTCTATCATCCTCAATGAAAAGTTCAAAACCAAACTGAAAGAATAAATAAGACATAAAATGAATAATAGATATTGTGAAAGGGTAAGAAACTGCTCAAAAGGAAAGAACAACTGGGATGAGGGAAAAGAGAAAAGAAGGAAGGAAAAATTTAAAAATACCTATAAATCTATCTATCTATCTATCTATCTATCTATCTATCTATCGAACTATCTCTATACATACACACATACACAAGATAGCTAGGGTAACTGTAGTACTAATTTCTACTAGTTCATTGAAAGGAACAGTTAGTGCTTATATTGTTTGATCAGTTTTGCATACCTATATTTTATAATCTGAACAACTACTTTGAAGATAGCAATATGCAATATAACAACCATTGGTCATTTCCTATCACTTGTTTTGAAATCCTGTATCATTTTAACTTTTTTTCTCTCTTTAAAATGATAAAAAAATATTAAAACACTTCTGGAAGATAACATACGAAATAATCTAGATGGTCTAGGGTCTGGCCACGTCACTTTACATACACTTAGATATGCTTTGGATATTAAAGGGAAGATCCATGGAAGAAGGAATTTATGTCATAACAATTGTACCACTTTTGTGAGCAGTGTCAATATAGTAGTGCATGTGTTGGGGTAGAGTGTAAATAGGAATCTCTGAGCTTCCTACTCAGTTTTTCTGTGAAATTAAAACTGGTATAAAAGGAAGTCTGGTTTAATAATCAACTCACATATATAGACACATACAAACAGAACTGGCATCCATCAGTTATTGACATACCAACAAACTGATATGATTCAATTTCTATACATCATGCCTTTGATTCTGCTTCTCAGCTGAACTTGTATCTAGAGATACCTTACACATGGTATGACAGTAGCTTCAATGAAAAGAATTTTACTTACGTGGACTCTCCCATCATCAACTGAATCTAGAAATTTTGTTTGCAAAGTGACAGACAGAATTTTACATATTTGGATAGATCAATCTATAGAAGTGAACTAGTAAGGTCAGCACAAACAGTATAATCATTAATTCTATATATCTATCCACCACTGAAACAATCCTTTACTAGTTGCCATTATTTATATGCATATTATGCACTGTTTTAAACCCCATTTTGTTGTCCAATCCCTTTTACTTCAAGCCAATATCTATTGCTGGAGTCAAACAGTACATATGGAGAACTCATTCACCATAAGGCTTTATACCTATGATTAACTCTTAACTTTTGTGGCCTCATTACAACCTTAATCTTGAAAGTCATATAGATGAACTACACAATAACCTATCACTTTTTGTGTACCAGTAATCACATTCCTTAAAATGAGTTCTAACACAGACCTCTTAACACATATTTGGGTCCATAGTACTGTAAGTCATCAGGGCCACAATAAGATGGAAATGGGTATGGTTCTTTTAACAGTCGTAATTAACCTTTGCATGGAAGTTTTCCTCTGCTATAACTATGGCCACTCTGCTCCTGGGATCTGCTCTGCCGAGCCCCACTCTCAGCTCTGTGCTGTCTCCCATGTCTGTGGAGATTGTGCCAAACAGCAAATGCACCTGCACTCTCTGGGCTTGTGACCACCATGGCCCAGCAGGGCACATTCTCTGGTCCTGAGGGTTTAGGGCTCTTTCCTCAAAATGACTGCAGATGTTCACACTCTGTGCCACTCACTCTGCTCTCATGAGTGAATGAGGAAAGCGCAAATTGCTTGTGATTCTCAACCATTATACTCTACTGCACAAACTGAGCCACTTTTCTGTAATTTGTGGCCCATGACTTCACTTTCTTCTCTTTTTCCACCAACTAAACCCTGCTTGCCCCTCTGACATTGCTCATCTACATCCACCAAGACCCCCTCTGCATTTTCAGTCTCTTCCTTGACTTCTTTGTTCTTTCTGTTATAACTCAGACCTGAATCTTGCCTGAAAAATTCAGTTCTCCTTGATCTTCTGCAAAAAACTTTTTACAATTTCTCTTACCCTCAAAGTTGGGATCTGTCCTGGTTTCTAAAGAACTCTTTCTTGTCTCTTATGAAAACCGCCGCTCTTTCCAAGCTTGTGCTATTCTTAGTAAGACAGAGATTCCTAAAAACCCATTTCCTCTTTTCTCCCAGTTGCTAAGGTTGCATGGCCCAGCCTCTCTTCCTGTAAGATGTGGTTCTGTGATTTAAGTCAAATGAAAAGAATGTTAACAATCATTGCAGGAAACCTTTTCAGTCAAGTCTGCAGGGGTGAGGATGAAGTTGCTATGTTCACTTTACCCATTTTACTGACTGGATGCAGCTGACAAGGAATGCTAGGTAACATGAAAGCCATCAGATAAAAAGGCCTGGATCCCTGATTTGCTAGTTAGATGAGGCGTAGCTATTTTCTGATCAGACACATGCACTAACACAAGGAAAATTAGTAGCGGGAAATAGATTGCTATTGTGTTTGAGTCATTACTAGGAGCTCTATTTTTTGATGCAACAGGTATTATTCTTATGTATACATGAGAAAGCCTTTCATTGCCATCTAGTAGATACTGATATAGTCCATCTCCTTTATTAGAGACTTTAACATATACTTTCCCTCTGTCCCTACCCTAGCCCCATCATGAGTAACTGTATGTCCTCACAAGTCCTTGACCGCTAGTTTCAAATTGTTTTACTTCTCCAGTTCAACTTTGTCATGCAGTCCCACAAGCATTAGATGAAAACTGTCATATCCTATAACTCCATCTTCTTCAAAGTCATTGTCAACCAAGCTGCCATATGGCTACAATCTTCTATCCATGGCACCAACTTGTTCAAATATTTTCATGACTATTAATTGACTTTATCCTTTCTTCACTTTCTTCCACATCTACCTTACGGTCCATGGTGCTTCACTTGAATATTATCCTGGATGTCATTGTCCTTGTGAGTTTTAATCACATCTACCTAGCAAAACTTCAGACTTGCAGGAATTGAGCTGTCTGCCTTTTCGATGATGTAGTACCCAGATAACACAGCCCAGAAACATACAACAAAGCAAACAGTCCAGGGTAAAATGCAATTGTTGGTATGTTATTAACCCTCAAGACTTCCAGCAATATAACAACCAACTTGACGCCCCTCAAGTGTGTCACAGGCACCCCAAACTTAAACTTTCATGCCTAATCTAACAGCTATCTCTACAACTGTTCTTTTATCAATATTCTACTTTCAGTAATTAGTTTACCTCTTATTTAAATAAACAACAAAATGATAATTTTTCCCTTATAAATTTTACCATCAATTGCTTCCAAATACTTGTTAAATTTTACCTCCTAAATATCTATCAATCTTCATATTTTCTACCATCACATAGTCCAAACTAATATCAGCTTGCCTGGGAAAGATCTTAAAACACTTCCAGTTTTATATAGGTTCTATTACTTGATTTTTTTTTTTTTTTGTCTATAAGCTCTGCAAACCTAAACCTTTATTTGCCTAATTTTACTAATTTCCTTGTACCATTTTTGCATTTTTCTTTGCTTATAGTGACTTGATAAATATTCACTGAGTAAATGCATGAATTGATTAAATGAATACAGGAAAATACATAAGTATTACCACAATTAGCATATATGTTTATGAAGCCAGGGCTCACATCAGTGTTATATAAGAGAAAAAAAATGAAGATCCACAAAAGCTAAACAAGCAGCACCTGAGTAATCTGGATTCAAACTGAGATCTTTTAACTTTCATAGCTCTTACCCCTGAGTGCCTCCACATGTCTGATCTGTGCCACATATTGAACTTTAAAAAATCCTCTCATGTTGCTTAGTTTATCCTGAGGATTCATGTTACCTCTAATTTGTAATGCAATTTTCTTTCAATATAGAAAATAGTGTGCCACAGAAGTAATCAAATACTTTAGAATTGTGCCATCCTCTTTAAAAACAAATACTAAGATTTTGTAAATAGAAATGCTTACAATCTCATACTCCCAATTAAGATCAATACCAAAGTATCAATATCAATTTCCAAAGTAGGCATCATCCAAAAGAAAAAGGAATTAGAGTAGGAAAAACAGAAACTGACCTTTAAAAACTACTGTTCTCTATCATCTTTAGGTGTTTGCCATGTTATAGATATTGTACTAAGCAATTTATAAGTTCAGTGAAATAGGAACTATTAACATCCCTATTTTTCAGGTAAGAAAATTGAGAATTAGAGGAAACAATCAAAGCCAGGAGTCAAATCCAACTTCTGCAGGATTGTAGCGGTACTTCACATTAAATTGCTTTCCAAATAAGCCTTTCATTTTAAACCATTACTTAGCAAAAATGGAATAAAACTTTTTTTTTTTTTTGCTACTAATAGCATCTGATAGTGAGACATTTCAATTATAAGCAGATAGGGACCGAGAACAATAGGTGCATTAAAAAACTTAACTTTTGCAGCATGTTTAAAGGAGCAAGTTATTTAGTCTTACCCATGAATTCAATCCCCAAATGGTCTGCTACATCGAAGTCAGCAAGCAAAGGAGGAAACAGAGAAAGAGCAGATTAGAAAATTTATAACTGTAAAAATGAAATGCACATATTGATATTTAAAATGCATAGTTAAGAAAACTTATTGGTGTTGTGGTTTTCTTGTATACCAATAATTAAACTGCTATTGTTGTCACTGTTCAGTTTTCTATTTTAACACTGAAGGAATGAAAGTATTTCCTAATTTATGAATTTATGAATAAAATCTTAGCAATGAGAAAAAACTGTCTAAAAGGTATGGGTAAAAACTGTTAATTGAGTGTTTCTATTCCTTCCCCCCATGTTAGACACCAACTGTATATGCTAGGTTGTTTAAAGCAATTTCTTTATAATATAAAATCAATAAAATAAAAATGGAGCAGTTATATTTATGCAACACTGTATACAAAGGGAAGATATTGCATAAGATTCTTATCTTCCTTTTGCTTTGTTTTGTTTTCACAATAGTTTACTTTTTAAAATTTCAGACTTCACTGCTCTTTGAATTGATACTTCTAATATTCACATGTTATTTGTTATTTGAAAACCATATCTAATAAAGGTTTTAGTTATTGTCATGCAAAAAATAAATAAAAAAGAAAGTAATCTACACAAGGAAGTCAATACCTGTAAGACTGACCACCCAAGACAGGGAACACTTCTCAATTTTATCCACATTTTCTTCAGAAATATAACTTAAAGTTGGCAAACAGTAACAGTGCTCTCAGAATAAACCAGTATTTCCCCAAAACCTCTGAACCATCGCTTAGAATGTTGGATGGAATAATAAAGCATATATTATGAAGTATGCTAAATACAAACTTAAACCAAAAGAGAAAAATAGAGACACAGAGACAGCCAGAAACTGTGGATACAAACTTATGTTCAGAATCTACAACATTCTATGTAGATAAACTACTTATTCAACATAAGCTTATTCTGATCTCTATGCTGAAAGGAAAAAGTTGGCCCCAGTGAGGTTATGACAGTCCCTAAGCAGTTGATCTTCATGTTTACAAAAAAGCAATGATGGTAAACAGTTTTTTTCCTTTCATTTGTTACATGAAAGAAGTGTGTATTGGCAAGACTAAAAGCCTTGTATAGGTCACAGAATGTCAGGCTGACCTAGGGCACAAGTCAGTGTCCACAAGCCCCACGACTATCTGACTTGATATCCACCTCGTCAAAAACAAATAAAGATGTGTGTCGGCCTGTTCTGAGTACATGCGGGAAGCCAGCTCTCTCAATGAGCTAACGTCTGCCTGTGGACAGCAGTGTAGTGAGTTTTCCTGGGTCTCCTCCCCTGTATTCAGCCTTACAGGTTGTTTATTTAAATGGCACTTTCTTTTATCCTTCAGTTATGTAGTAATCACTTTTAAAATTCATCACATTATTTAATGGTGTTTTCTGTTGCAGTAATGTTTGTCTGAAATGAAAATAAATGGGGAATAAGAGTATTTCTCTACCATATTTGTTACTAAGATTAATTACTTAGCTTCCTTTTAATCCTTTATTTAGCAAACAAGCACTTCCTTTTACATAACATACATTTATTTACCTTGAATATTTCAGTACTCTTTTGTAAATAGTTCATTTTTTAAATTTTTGTGTGCCAAGCTGTACATAAAATTAAATTTAACATTTTAAACATTTTAAGTATGTAATTCAGTGGTAATAATTACATTTGCAAGGTCATACTATCACTACTGTTGTACTTCCAAATGTTTTTCTCCACCTCCATCAGTAACTCTACATTTTTAGAACCCTGAGGTTTCCTCCCCACCACCCTTGGTATTTCTGTCCCTAGGAAATCAATTTACCTGCAAATGGTCCATTTTGCAGTGATTAGAAACTGCCTTAATTGATGACTACAACTTTTATAAACAAAGATGGTTACAATGTCTCTAAAAAGTAGATGCATTCATTTCTTGGCACAGCATTTTTTGACTGCTTGCTGTGTACTGTTGGGTATTATGGTAGATATCTGGAACATTTTCATGAAAAGGCAGGCTCCTTATTTTCAATGAATTGAGAAATCAGTGGGATACCACAGAGAAAAAGCCCTGGTCATTCTTTATAAGTGCTATAATAGAAAGGCAGAAAATACGCTTTGGCTAGAGAGGCCAGGGACATATAAGCTGGCTCCTGGAAGGGAAAGAATGTGCCATGCAAAAGATTAGGGCTTGTGGAGAAGTGGACAGGACCATCTTTGTGCTCTTGTGCAAACTGGAAGCTTCATGACAATATGTACCTAAAACACTGGAGATATACTAGAGTTGTATTTAAAATAAGGATTTGAGGGAGATTAATTATCATGAGACTAAAGGTAAGGGGAAATTAAAGACCAGGAATAACTTTTTAAAAGCATAAAACTAAAGGCAAACATGTAGGAAGAAGACAAGGGAGGACAGGGATAGGAGCTGTGCTTAGAAGACCTCAAGTGGTAGAGCATGGAGGACTAGGGACCTCCTAGGGCAGTCTGAAAGCCACCAGCCTCAGCCTGGGTGAAGAACTTTCTGGTTCAGAACTGCCTGCCTGTGATGTACTTTGCTGGTAGATTTAAATCATAGCCACTCTTCACGCATCCATGACTTCTGCTCTTCCACTTTAACATATGACATAGGTAATACAATTATGGCTATGGAACAACTTCTGTCCAATCACTTGAACGTGGGCCATGCCCCAGGCTGACCCCCTTTGTCCTAATATTATAAGCAGCTAAGTCAGACAGAAATTAATATACAGTCAGAGGGAACTGGGCTCTCAAGGAAATCAGTAAAAAAGCAGAGACATCAGAATTGTGGCTGGAGGTTCATCTGAAGACCAGACCTCAAGATAGAGATGCAATAGTCAGGCCTACACACCTCCCTAAGGTATAAGCAGTAACTTGAGACTATATTATAATTAGCACCACCTGATCCAGTAAGTCCACATGGGTATGAGTTGCCCAGGTGAGTGATCAATGCATCTGCACCCTTCCCTTCCCAAGAATGCCTTTGTTCTTTCCATGCATCCTTACTACTGACTCGGCTTCCTACTCGATACATATTAGCTAAGTGCCTGTGCTTGTAATCCTATAGGTTCATGGTAGTTTGACCCATGTTGTACCCACATTGTGACTGTATACATTATCCCTGACCGAGTGGCTTGATGGCAACTTTCAGGACCCCTCCTGTCTCTCAGGAATTGTCTCTTAATAAACTGCGCCTATTTTTAACCTCTTGCCCTTGGAATTCATTCTTCAATATTTGGAGGACATGACTCCACACATCCAACATCTCGCAGGTTGAGAGTTATATTTCTCCTATGTCCCTAAGGCTTGCTATGCAGAGTTAGAAATAAGATGAAGGTGTGCAGAGCCACCTGCATGACCTATAGTAACCTTTCTTCACTTGGAGCTCATTAGAGGTTCATGCATATGAATTGCATCTCAAATGTCCATATGCAAATTATGGAAAAGGACACACATAGTAGATATACCTGTCAATCACTCTGACATTCATGCTCTGGAAGACCCAATGGGAAGTTTAAATTCTTAAAACCAACACATTCAGCTCTCTTGCCATTTTTCTTTCTGCCAGCACTAGCCAGTCACTCTGGGCATCCCATCACCTAATTAAACTCCATTAAGCTTTGCTGCTTTTTTCCTTCTCATCACATGCCATCTCAACTTCTCTGTCACACACAAGAACCTAGAGATCCACCCTGAACCCATCACGCATGGCAATGAATCTGCAGATTGTGCTGAGGAGTGACTAGCATGTGTGAAAAACTAGAGGTCAGACTGAGTACTGTGTAACTGAAGTAGGATAAAAGCAGCAGAGGGAGGTTAAAATGTGATATGGAAAATCATCATTTTAAAAATAAAAACTGCAGCTTCAAGACAAGGAGCCTGGTTTAACTGTCTGTTTTTCCCCAAGACATCATAAGCCTGGGTACTTCCCTTGTCCCTACACATGAACTTTGGCATTCCTTTTACCTGCAGCTATGCCTCTTTCACTTGTGAATGGACTATGTCTTTCCCCTGTGAACTAGGCCTTTCCCTAGGGGTGGTCTACAACTCCGCTACCCACAATGGCTATCACTTTTGAAAAGGCCATCACTCTTTCTAGAACAATAGCTGTCATCTTCGACTCTTCTACATGTAAACTGAATCTTTTCCTTCAGGTTCACAAGTTCCACAGATTTCCATCCCGAAGTTTCCCATAAATATACCCAGCCCCGGACTATGATCTCTCTCTTGCTCTATCTCTCTTCCTTTGCATGTGTATGTTACCACTTTTGCAGTCTAGTTCTTTGAGAGTGTACATCACCACTTTGGGGACCTCCTAGAATGCTGTCCGATGACAAAACCCCAGTGAATCCATGAGCAATATCAGAGAAACAGGAAATGACAATTACTCAAACAATGAAAGGTAAGTGTAGAAATCTCGAGAGAAAAGAAATCTATCTTCTCTTAACATAAATTACGTGTGGTTACTGGAACTGTAATTTTCAGTCTCTGGCAAGGTGGCATTTGTAGCCTTAGAAATTAATGGGAAATTATTTAGTAATTTGTATAATGGTTTCTTCACCAAAACTGAACATACAAATAAAAGTTCATATTTAAAATATTTCTCTTCTCTGCTCCTCTTTCTTGCACCTACAGGTCCTCACAAGCACACACACACACACACATTTCTATTGTTCCGTTAAACTGTTAAATACTGCAATTGCGATTGAAGATTTGAAGACACTGACAGGGTCTGGTTTACACAGAAAGAACAATTGAAAATCCAAGAAGAGGAGATGACAGAAAAGCAATTAATTTTGCTATGTGAGGTGGACAAAGAACAAAAAGCACATAATCTTTTCTTGTAATTCTTCCCTGGCTATTTCTTAAAGAAAACATCCTGCCTAAGGACATTCAGGTCTGCAGGAAAACATCAAGAGAAATGAAATAAGAATTAATCAATCAATAGCTCAATTATTCCTTCCCTTAAAAATC